CGTACCCCCCGCAGCAGGACGGGCCCCAGCAGCCACAGCCATAGCCTCTGTAGCCATAGCCACAGCCCAGGCCTCCAAGGTCGCCCCAGCCCCAGCCGGAGCCATAGCCACAGCCCAGGCCGCCGAAGCCGCCCCAGCCGTAGCCGCGGCCTCCGTAGTAGCTGCCGTAGTAGCTCATGGTGTCAGGGGGTGATTTCGGCTGGAATTGTGGATCCGTTCTGTGACAGGATGGCCCCAGGATATTTATATACGTGGGCTGGCGGGGACAGCCACCTGTGTCACCCAATGTCACAGGGACCTTGGAAACCTTGTCGTGTTCTTGTTTCCCAACAGCAAACACGCCTGCACGTGTTCATGTGAGTCGCTTTCGAGAGTCACGGAGGCGTGTGTGGCTTCGGGGAAATTTCTAGAAGAGAATTTTATGTCAATAAGATGCGATCATTTCTGTCACCCACACACCCATTCGGGTCTCTGAGTCACAAACCCCATGAACCATCTTCACGCTTCGGGTGCCATCGTGGCATTGCCTGAGGCTGCGCTCACCTTGAACTGAGCCCCTGCCCCCCTTCCGTGGCCGTGGACTCTGCAGAGCCCGGGGGGCCTTTCCTCTCCTGAGAATCTACATGAAGGGAAGCATCATTATTCCCTGAAATGCTGTTCCTGTTGGTCCCGCTGTGCCCGGCTTCCTATCCAACATGCTTGTCGTGTCACCTGAGAGCCACACCCAGCAGCAGGGATGCCGTCACTTTTCGGGGAGCCACAGCCTGGGGTCTACGGCGTTCCTCAGACACCAGGCGTCATGTGGCAGCAGCCTGCGTGGTGGCTGCCATGGAGACCCTGTGGGAGGTCCCGCTCCTAGGGGTGAATGGCCCCAGTGGTGCTATCGCCATCCCATCTGGTGACTGCTCCCGGTCACGGCTCACTGTGCCGGGAGGAGCTGAACACCAGGATCTGTGTGTGTGAGCTCAGTCTGCCTCCCTGTGCAGCTCTCTCTTTCTCTCTCGCTCTCTCTCTCTCTCTCTCTCTCTCTCTCTTCTCTCTTTATTGGTTTCAGAGAATAAGAGAGAATCATGGCCTGGCTGCCTCCTGCAGGCCCCACACTGGGGATCGAGCCCACAACCAGGCATGTGCCCTGGCCTGGAATCGAACCCTGACCTCCTGGTTCATAGGTCGATGCTCAACCACTGAGCCACCCGGCCGGGCCACAGAATTGTAATTATATGTCCGTCTGACCCAGAAGCTCATCTCGGTCACAGGAAACTTTATGTCTTTCTACCTCGGGCACTGAGTACATCTCGGGCACAGGGTGACACCACGTTCCCTTGGGTGACGATTGAATAAAGGAACAGTGGGTCCATCCTGGGGGGCCCTGGCCACAGTGTCACCAGCCTGTCACCCTGCCCGGGCCAGGCTCCTGCAGGCACAGCGGGCACAGCTGTTTCATAGATGCCCGCGCCCAGTTCAGCTAGTAACAGGGATTTTTAAAAATGTGGACGAATGTACAATGATTCTGTAGAGTTTGTAGACATGTTGGCATTGGCTCCTTGAGCTTGTACTGCACACAACACGCTACAGACAGACAGACGCACTGCGGACAGACAGACAGACTGCAGTGTCATGGGTACTGTCCTCACTGGAATCTGTGCCTCCGGCCTTGGGGGCGGACAGTGGGGGTCCTTACAGGACGTTCCCCAACCCAAGCCGAGGGCCCTCACTGTCGTGGTCATTGTGCTCCTGAGAGAAATTACGGTGGCGTCTTGCAGAGAATCTTTTACTCCGTTCTCCAAACTTTATGTGCTTCTGCCTTTGGCCAGGCTGAGTTATGGAATCCCAAGCTAAGGGTGCTGCTGTCGTAAATTACTACTAAGTAGGTCGCGTGCTGACCCGGCGCGTGGTTCTCGTGTGGACGCAGAAGCTGCCATCCATTCTCAGGCGTTTGAAGAGAACTTTTGTCCTGACAACTAAAAAACAAGGTTCTTCAAACAGATCACAGGATTCCACTGCAGGGTCCGTCACCAGTGAGGCAAGCTGTGGGGGTGTGTCAGTGAGGTTCCGTCACCAGTGAGGCAAGCTGTGGGGGTGTGTGTTTTAATTAAATAAAAGGTGAAGACAGCAGCTGGAGGTACAAACAGTAGGCGAACAGAACAGCCAGGACAACGTGGGCACCTACGGGAACGTGGACACAGAAACAGAGCTCACACACATGCACACACACACACATGTGCACACCCTAGACGTGGACTCGGGCCCTTAAGAAGGATCACACACTGAGTGACAGACATGCTGCAGACAGACAGACATGCACTGCAGTCAGACAGACGTGCTGCAGACGGGCACACGTGAACTCGCACCTGCTGTGCGCACACAGGCACAGCCTATCCATGCAGCGCGGACAAGAAACTAGGACATGTGCAAACGCCCAGTGAAAGCAGTTTATTGTCGAGTGAGTCCCCCATGTCCATGAGCCATCGGAAGGGGGTTCTCCCAGAACATGTATCCGCCCGGGGAGTCACTCCACACACTGTGCCCGCCCCCCTCTGTTCCATCTGCAAGTGCGATGGTTTTGTCAGGTCGGTGCTGGGTGCTGGGTGCTGGGTGCTGGGTGCTGAGGTTCAAGGCCGCCGCAGGGGCCCCGGGCGGCCCATCTCTCCAGAATCTCAGAGGGGCAGGGGCCGGGG